AAAAATAATATAAATGAAAATATAAATTATTTCAACATCTTTAGTTTTAAAATAAAGAAAAATTATTTATTATTTATTATTCTAAAACGAAGGGAGGAATACCACTCCTAAAACATGCACGGTAATGGTATTGTGATTGTGGGAATAACATTACTTCAAACAAAAAAATGTTAAAGCACTTTTATACGGCACTGATTAAACAATCACACGCTCTCTATGGTGTACTCAAAGTTTATTTTTGGGACGAGGAAGTTGGGGGACCTTCCAATCTTATGTAGTCGTACATAATCCCTTGGAAAGGACTAGTGCTCCTTGGTTGAGTCAGAAAGATTGTATTATCTCCTTGAACAAGCTGAGTACCCGGTATATTGATACTGTAGAGCCAGTAGAGTCCATGAATTCCATGTCTTGCAATTGAGTTGTCTCTCCCAATCAATCCACTTGAAAATACAGGCTTTGTGTTTGGATCATTGATTCGAACCTTCAGATTACAAAACTGCTTTAGTTACATGCATTCCTATATGATTATCAACATTCAGTTCATCAGGGGCGGAATAGGGGACTGAGGAGGTCCAAGCCCCCTTAAAATTAAATAATAATAAAAGATATATATGGTTTTTTTCATGAAGTTAAGGACGTACACTTTTTTTTTTCAAGGTAAGAAGATATATATATATATATATATAGATTTATTTATTAGCAGCTCTATATGGCAATCAATACATTTTGTTTTAATTTTTTAAAAATTTAATTTAATTACCTCATGACTTTACTTGACATTGGCCTTTGTTTAGATAAAAATTAATAAAGGAAATGAGAGGAAAAAGAAAAGAGAAAAGAGGAGAAGAATTAATGATAAGGTTATTAAGATAATCCATAGTGGAGAAAAAGGAAGGATAATTTTTTTATTTAATTAAATAATTTAAAAACATATAATATAATATAATATAATTAAAATTTTTATTTATTAAATAAATAATTAAAATAAAATATTTATATTTATTTATTTTTAAAAAGATTTAAAAAATAAATAAATGCAAGAACGAAATTCATTGCAATCCCTCTAAATTAGAAGGATGGAAATCAAAGAAGTGGAGGGGCTTGATCTCCCTCCCTTTCATTAAAAAGGGCAATCCAAACAAGAAAATGAGGCACCTCCTCATCCCTCCAAATCCCTTAATCCAAACAAGAGAATTGATTAGCTATACTTTATTTTCTTTTCTATTTTTTTTGCCATCTCTTTTACATATTTATTCTTTCCTTGTTGAATTAGAACTTTATTAAGGTGTATACTTTGAAGTCTATACTACTATTCTTATGTGTATGGAAGAAAATTATTTTATCTTACCACAACCCTAGTTCTCATATTAGTTTTTTAGTTCTCCTTCAACTCCCTACTTTCTCTAAAGGTTGGTATATTCATGAAGTATTTATACAATATTGTTACTTTTCATTCATTGATTTAGTTATTTTATTGTTCTTTCACTCTTTTATTTTATTTTATTTTATTTTTTTGAATTTTAGGATTTGAATACTTGTACTTAGAGATTGCAATTTAAACACTTGAAATTTTAACTAGATTCCTCTTGTTATTTGTTTTGTAATTGTTATTCATTCTTTTATTTTGTTTCTCTTCGTTGCATTTTTGCTATATATTGTTTTTTTTTTTTTGGTAAAATTGATTAAAAATAGGTTTAGGGTTTAGTTTAACTAAATGAGAATATATTAATTCTCCTTCAACCAATTCTTCATGTTCTATTTCTAAAACCGTTTTATACTCCAAGCCCCTCTAATTTGAGATCCTACATACGCCACGAATTCATGATCAATACCTGCAATTCAGAGAAAGTTGCCGATGCAATTGCAACTTGGAATTTATATGAACTGCTCTGATCCACACTGTCAAGCATAAATTTGATTTGCCATGTGGTTCCTTGATACTTGTTATCGTCTTTCTTCCTGCATTGCAATTTGCAAGAGATTTTTACTATAGCTGATAATAATGACCTCCCCAGAATAACAGCAAAGATAACAAACAATAAATCAAAATCATAATGCTTCTGCCTCAATTGACTCTGATTGAGACAAAAACAAAAATATGAAAGAATCTCACCTGGTGACTTGAGCAAAAAACCAATCTTTTTCGTAGTCACTAAAGCCAACTGTATATACTAAGTCCCCATCAGGATACAATTCCGCATATCTTTCCCATAATCCATACTGCCTAAACCTGGCAGCAGAAGAACATGAGAAACAATCTTTTGCTTGAAGTGGGTATAAATCGCACTCTCGAAACATGGCATGTAAAACTATGTTGCATATCAGTTTCAGCTCAATCTATACAAGCTTGAGCTAGTACGTGGGAGCTTAGGAATGAATTCTATTCACTTGCATTACAGAAACTGTGTTAACGATAAAGGAGAAAACTAACTTGTCAGGATGATTGACATATAGCCTGTTTATGTATTGGGGATTAGGATCTGGGACATAGAATTCTGCAGCAGAACGATCAGGGACGCCAATTTCCCACAATGTAGGTCCATT